CCGAGCGGAGTCCCCTCTGGTCCTGCTGGTGAATGGGAGGAAGCAGAGTCTCACCAGCCAAGCAGCAGCAATTGTTGCCTACAAACCTCAGATGGAGTAGAGGCCTCAGCACCGGGGGATATGGCCGTATTTCCCCCCTGCCCTCTCCCCTTCCCTCCCCTCCCCACCCTCAGTGACCACCAGCAGATATGGCCTGTCCTCCCCAGGGACTACAAGCAGATGTGACCATATTCCACCCCCTCCCCACCCTCCAGAAACCACCTGCAGACATGGTCGAGTCCTCCAGGGATTTCTTGCAGACACGGGCCCTCTCTCCCATCGCTGGAGTTGCACTCTCACACTCACGTTTCACACACACTCATGTTTCACACACACACACTCTCTCACACACACGCCCACCGCCCCACACGCGCGCGCACACACACACACACACAGGCACCCCCACACACACGATATGCTCCCAGCCCTTTACCAAAGCTCCATGCAGCAGTCCCTGCTCTGTCTGGCCTGTGAATTTGCGCCGAGCCCCAGGGCCAGCTCAGCACGGGCCAGTCATTTGACATGGGATCCTCTGTCCCACTCAGCACCCCGGCCGCCCCTGACGATTAAATGCTCACTTGCCCTAATCCCCCGGGGGGGGCGGGGGCGGGGCGGGGGCGGGGTGGCAAAAGGTTTCCCATCACTTGCTTTGATACAGTGTCCCACAACATCTTTGATACAGTTTGCAAAGTGTATATATTTTCCATGTTTTTCTAAAACAAAAGTGTATATATTTATATATATTTCTTGGTTAACTTCCAGAACTGTACATTTTTTGTTTCTCTGTGTGTGTGTGTTGTTATTGATCGTGCAGTTTGCCTTTGTTGTCCTAAAGCGAGCTGTGATTGTGAAGTGAGTGATTAAAAGTTGGTGAATTGGAAACATTGCTGTGTTCAGGTGTGCGTGTGTGTGAGAACCAGCCGTCCATGTCCTCCACTCCTCGCTGTTGTGCCTCGTGACACGAATAAATCCGATGCCTCTCCCCCAGCCGACTCCCAAACACGAGAGGAAAGCTCTCAGCCATCCCGCGGTCTGTTAGAATTAGGGTAACAGTTGCCCCCCCGACAGGTCACGCTTCAGCTTATACAGAGCCCTGGATAGGTCACGCCTGTGCCAATGAGTAAAGGAGCCGGGAAGGATAGAAGTGACCTTCCAAGGGGCATGCGGCATCAGTGAAGCTGAACACAACACCTGGACTGAATGGCGAGACGTCGGGGAAGGTCTAAAAAGGTGTCCCTCGTACACCAGTCATTGAAATTAAACATTGCAGACGGTGGAGATGCGTACTGCCTTGCCTTCACACTCTGCGCCTCTGGGTGTAAACCCGAGGATCCCATAAGTGACTGTTTCAGCGTGCCTGGCCAGCTTCAGTGACCCCTGAGTTCCCTTTCCTCCTGTACTCCCCTCTAAACTTGTAGCATTGAGCCTGCTTTGTCTCTTGGTGTTTATTCTGCAGGTTGGTCCCAGTAACAAACTGGTGCAGGGCAGTCAGATGTCCCTACTTCTGAACTGCAGCCCTCTTCCAGCAAAGACCAACACACCGTTTGCCTGTCTCGTAGGTTCTGGCAGAACCTACCCGTCTCCTTCCGCTGACTGGTGTACAAAGGCAGAGCGGATTCCCTCAGCTCGCTGCCCACGGTCGGCCCAACCTGTTCCTGCCGACCCAGATATCTTAAATTTATCTAGTCCCATTTGCCAGCATTAGTCCCCTATCCCTCTAAACACTTCCTATCCACATACCCATCTAGATGCCTTTTAAATGCTGTAACTGTACCAGCCCCCACCCGCTTCCTCTGGCAGCTCGTTCCATACACGCACCACCCTCTGCGTGAAAAAGTTACCCCTCAGGTCCCTTTTAAATCTTTCCCCCCTCACCTTAAACCTATGCTCCACTAGTTTGGGACTCCCCTACCCTGTGGGAAAAGCCCTTGTCTATTTACCCTATCTATGCCCCTCATGATTTTATAAACCTCTATAAGGTCACTCCCTCAGCCTCCGACACTCCAGGGAAAATAGCCCCAGCCGATCCGGCCTCTCCCTTCCGAGATCCTCGTAAATCTTTTCTGAACCCTTTCAAGTTTCAGAACGTCCTTCCTGTAACAGGGAGACCGGGATTGAACGCAGTATTACAAAAGCAGCCCTAACCGATGTACAGCCCCAACATGACCCTCCCAACTCCTACATTCAATGCACTGACCAATAAAGGCAAGCGTACCGAACACCTTCTTCACCGCCCTCTCTACCTGCGACTCCACTTTCAAGGAACTATGTACCTGCTCCCCAAGGTCTCTGTGTTCAGCGACACTCCCCAGGCGTGGATCACCATTCTGACCATATGCGACCTTTCCATTTTTTTTAGCAGCGAAGGTCCGTCTGTGGGTGGGGAGGGAGAGGGGGATTAGGTCTGTGTGTGTGTGGGGAGAGAGAGGGGGATGGAGAGGGGGATTAGGTCCGTGTGTGGGTGGGGAGGGAGAGGGGGATTAGGTC